ACGACTTGATGCTTTGCGCTCACACTGCTCCCTTCAACGCCAAGAGCGCAGTTTCCCACTTTTCCTGGTGGATGACAATGCGCCTGGTTCCGTTTCAGTCAGTTCATTGCTTTGCTTCCTACTCGCGCCATTGACTATAGTACTATATACTTTTCTTCGAGATATTTTTCGTAAATAAAGGTCTGCCAATTTTCTGATACTCCTCGAATACTCAGGTGAGCTGAATCCATTCGTGGCAAAGCCAGGATTCAAATACATAGGGTGTGTTTAGTTGGGTGGCCAACCCCTAGCCTGTCTCTCTGGAGCTAATTTTGATCTGTTTGGTTGCTTGAAAGTGGTCTGGGGCCTGGCTAGGGCTCGCCAGGATTGAACGCCCGAATCGGTCGTTCTCCTGGAGCCTGGCTTGGGCCAGCCTCTTTTCTCTATTCGTGTCACCTCTGTGCGGTGCGAGCGCTCCTCACCTCCTCGCTTGCGCACTGCCGCTCCTCCTCGGCGGCGCCGCTCCTCCCGCCATGGACGCCAGCTCGCCTGAGCAGACCCCGCCACGGCCCCCTCCTCACCGCCATCCCTGCCCGCCATGGACACCAGCTTGGCCCCGCCGCTCCTCCACGCCTCCCATCTCCGCGGCCGACTCGAGGAGGACGACGGCACTCCAGCCATGACCGCGCCTGCCCCCGGCTCAGCCTCGCACTCCCTCCTCCCCTGCTCCTCCCGTCCTCCTCCCCTGCTCCTCTCTACCGACGGCGGCCCTGCTTTGCACGAACATGCCCGGCGCCGGTGCCGGGTCCGGGAACGACGGCGCGCGGTCGAGGTCCAGGGCCATGAGCTGGTGGAGCCGGTGGTCAGCATGGGCGACGCCAACAGTGGGCACGGCGCCGGGCGCCTCGCCGTCGCCGCGGAGGAATACGACACACGCGAGGCGCCCGCGGTGCTTCCAGTTTCAGCGTCCCCTCGTTTCGGCGGCGATTTTTTCCTTTTGATTTGATATTTGGTGGCGAACTGGAGATTGATGTTATGGGTAGTGGAGGATTTTGTGGTGGTGATGCTGCGAGCCATGGGAGCAGGGATGAAGCAGAGAGCCGCCACTGGTCGCCGTCAAGATGAACAAGATGAAGGGGGTAAGGTCACCATTGTAGAGAAGAGGTAGCAGTACCAACTAATCCAGGCAACCAAACAAAAACTAACTTAGCCAGGCTTAGCTAGCACATGACAACAAAACATTACTAGGATGGCTTGACTTGGACAGGCTAACTCAAACCTGGCTTATTTTTCTAGCCAGGCTAGGTAGAGCCACACAACACGCACCCATAGAGACCAACTCAGCTAGTGTCGACAAAAATTATACGATACTGCTGTCTGATATTGATGTTAGCTTAAAAAATTATCCACTTGGATGCTATCTTTAAAAAACTATAATAAAATCATCTTCAATCTCTTTGTCTTATAAAAATACTAAAGATCGGAGTGGATGTGTTTTTTTCCCATGTTTCTCCCGTGAAATGACTTCTAAAGGATTTTTTCCACCAATTTTCCTACGCCTCAATCCTGCCAACCAAAGGGCGCAACATTGTCGATTTCTATAGGAACTAAAATCCTATGTTTTTATACAAACTTTCTACGTTCCAAAGGAGGTCTTTACATTAGACAATCAAAGGATGTATTTTAGAAAAATAATCTAAAACTAGTTGAGAAGGCTTATTTACTTATAATCTCCCCTAGTGAGTAGAGGGAACAGGGAACTAATAATAAATACTAATGAAAATGTACAACATATCCCCTGGTTGAATCTATCTATAATTGTATACACATAGTAATAGCAAAAAGATGACTTCAATAAGTTCTTTGATTTTGTTTCTAAAGGCGGTACACCTACCGCATCTATAAATCAGATATAGACCAAACAACTAAAATCGCTTCTGAAAAGATATTTACAGAGACACACCTGTTAAGAATTTCAACTCTGGAAATATTCCGAGCCAATCTCCCAAGTTTTCACCAACTAGCTCTCCGCACACTCTCTCTCTTTTGGGCTCTCACTCTCTTTCTTCCCCTTCTGTCGTACATCTTCCCAAAACCAATCGCGGCGGTGACCCCCCAAGCCCGCAGATCCATAGGCGCTATGGCGGATCTGAGACTTCTCGCCCTTCTCTCTCTCACTCACTCTCTCTCTATCTATCTCTAATGGAGCACCACCATCACTGCGCATCCACCTCCACCTCGCCTCATCCTAGGTCCTATGTTCGCTCCAGCCATGGACTTGATTGGCGCTCGTCCCCTCCCCCATATATTGGCTAGTGGCTTCATCGTGGAGCTCGCAGATTCAACATGGCGACGTGGGGTTCCGTATTTAGGGAAGTGATTCTGTAGGTTGTCCTTAGATTCAGCATTCGAGGAGGTTTCAACTATGACTGTCCTCTACACAACGCATGCAAGATGCAGTCAACGTGACCTGTCTCCTTGTCTTCTCCACCAATGGGTACGTTATGTGAAGCTCGTGCTCTGATCCTTCTATGATCCACCCCCATCGTCTAACACCTCCATCTCTGATATATATCTCTTCTTAGTCCAGTTCCAATGGGTGCAGGTGACAAGGAAACATGAGGTTGATCACCATAGCAGAATCGAAGCATTGGCATGCATGTGTGGCTGGGCTTTGGTGACAATGTCGTCTGAGGTGAAGAAGACTTGTGGCCAGCATTCAAAGGAGGAAGAGGGGCATGGACGAGGGCATCGGCGCAACTCCACTATGGGCTTGGTGCACCTCTTTGCAAGCTCACACTGAGCTGTACATTTTTCTTAATTTTCAGCTTCATTTCAAAGACTTGGGACATGCCATTTTAGGATGGATCATCGCATGACCTCTTGGCACGGCATGACATGAAGAATTTTGAGTTGGGCCTAGAATCTTAGCACGTTTGGGTAGCACGACATGACCTGCTTTGGGTCGTGCTTAGGCCAACACGGCACAAAAATAACGTGCACATCTACATGACACTAAAGTATAATTTCACCTTAGATTTATCGTAAGCTAAACTTTTCTAGCTCTATTTTTTAAAAAATATAGTGACATATTCAAGTTCAAATAAGTGCACTGTCAAATACGTATTTAATGGAGACTTTAATAAGACTAATTTGATACTATAAGTTTTGATATAATTTTATATAAACTTGACAAAAGTAAGAGAATTAAACATAGAATGAAACAAAAATAACTATAGTTTGGAACATGGGGTAGAAATTTAGAAGGAAAAGGGTGGGTAGGCTAGTTTTTTTGCAACAGGGGGTAGGCTAGTTTAACTTGTTCCAAACAATTGTACTCGGACCATATATCACAGATGACACCCAACAACCTGCATTGGGTCCAACTCAATTGCAAAATAAACCAGGAAAAGTCTTTTCCCTTACTAAATTATTACTGTTGAAAGTTTTAAAACACATTTTGACATTAATTTTTGCTATTTTCTAGTTTCATTTTTGGAATTTTTCTATTTTTCTAGAGCTAAGTTTATTTTTTAAGTTTTTAGAGATACTTTCACGAGCTCAAAATATTTTATTGGGGTTTGTCGTGTCCCAATCTCTCTACATTTCTCATATTTTTTATAAGCTTAGAGATATTTTCTATGGTTTAAAAACATTATTAATTATATTACGGGATCCATCTTGAAAACCACTTCTAACATTGGCAAAGATGGTAATTAAACCAGAGATAATTTAAATGATTTTAAGAGTTGATGGGATAAGGTGTCTGCCCCGATAAAACAGCCCTTTTTTTACCTAATATAAGTAAGTGTTTGGATCCCATGAACTAACAACTAGTTGGCTAAAGTTTAGCTCATGAGGATCCAAACAGGTGAACTAGTAGGTGGGCTAACAACTAGTCAAAGCCCCAACTAGTTGTTAGTTCACTAGTCCACGTAACCCAACTAGTGATGGCTAAATTGCACCATATTGTAAAAAAGACACCCCTGGTCCCCCACCCCCGCGCATGCACAGCAAATTAGTAAGGGGTAAATCTGTCTAAACATTGAGATAGTGCTAGTTGTTAGTCCGTGGATCCAAACAGGGTTAGGGTTAGGCTAATCACTAGTCCCGGCAAATCACTGGTCCTAGTGATCCAAACAGCTCGAGCTACGTGCCCAAGAAGTCAAAACACCGCCGCTTCTTATTTGAGGCATGGCAAATTGGCAATGTACTTCATTGTTCATTCGTTTCTTTTGCTGTACACAAGTTATTTTTTTTCCTTAACTCGAGCATAAACCCCATATAATTGGGAGACTCAGCACCATCCTTTATCGTTATATATCAACCTATGGACTCTTTCCCTCCTATATTTAGTTATATATCAACCTATGGACTCTTTCCCTCCTATATTTTGGTTACTAGACATATGCCTGTGAGTCACAAATTGCCACAATTTTTTGTCCACGCCTACAACAAATACGTGACTTGCGTTTTAGACGAACATATTAGCGAGCACCCGTTAAATCCTGAAATAAATAAATACAGAAAAATACGAGCACTCATGTCAAGTCTAAGACTTAAATCCGAGTGGGCAGATTCCACCACAAGGAACCCAAGCAGTTGAGCTATGCTCAATTAAATGTACAAGTATAATTGTATGGAAAATATGAAGCATGTTTCATGATCTTTATCACCTATATTGTCTAGATCTAGTTTATAAAAACCTAACAAAATTTGTTTCACTTTTTTAAGGGTGCCACTACATATCTGTTGACAGATTTTTACACCAAAAATCTATCAAATTTTAGACAAATGAAAAGCTGACACATCAGCCATGGAAAAACTGACAGATGCTAAAAGAAAAAATCTACCAGATTTTTATTACACAAGACAATATCCAACAAAGATCCACAACCCGTTAACAAATACAGCCGAGTTGATGCACGCCTGCTGCTCACTGCTTTTGTTGCTGCTGCTCACCGCGCTGTGCTCACTGCTGCTCACTACTTTTGCTGTTGTTGCTCCCTGCGCTGCGCTCACTAGCAAATACAGTGGATGCAAAAACCTTGTAATTCTTTGGCTTGGTGAAGAATTGCATAGTTGATTTCAGACCAAATTGTCAAACCCAAACCTGACAGGAAAAGAATCTAAAATGGCATCAAGAGAAAAAGGTGAACCATACGCACAATAAGTTAACTTAGATCCTCAAAAGATTCAAAAGCAAATTACAAAATGAAAGTTCACTTACATTGCCCATTGCAATGAGCCCCTTGTCAAAAGAAGAAAATGATTCCCAGAAAGAAGAAGAATATTCCAAAGCCAGGCCAAGCCCAATCTCTGTCCAAGATGAAATTCAGACGTCACACATCAATGAGTTGGAAGAATAGACTGTGTAATATCTGAACCAGCGAATATGCTTTTACAACATCGCACAAAAGATTTTGCAAAGCCAGAATTTTTCGTCACACTTCAAACATTTAACATGATCTTTTTAATACAGCCAAAGCACTAAAAAGGTGGTATTTTACGCTTGATGATTCTACCAAGATTCATTGAAAATTTGCATCAGAACCCAGATAGAACAAAGAAGATTTCAAAGTGGTTGAGCATCTGTTCCTTACAGTGGTCAATCAGAAACTAGCATAGACATTGCAGCAGCAGCATATCTGATGTCGATTTCAACTAAATCCAAGCATCTTTCAGAGATTCAGCGGTCAGCCAGCAGCTCAGCACTGCAGTTAGTATTTGTATAGTATGGCAATTGTGTAAGACTAACCAGCAGAAGATCTTAAACTTTAATCTTTGCTTTACCTAAAAGCTTTATCCAGTTGAACAAACTCAGTTGAGATTAGCCACAGTAACTAACTGCTATGATATCACACATGCTATCTAGGATGAACAGACCCCTATACTTGTTCTTCCAATAACACCCCCCAACCCACCCTTGTGAATGGAAAAAACAGAATTAGCAATTTGTTATCTCTCTTGCATTGTACACACTTATAACACTAAAACTACCGATCAAGTGATATTGGCACATTGTAGACCACATAGGCGCACAGCGCATAATACATCTGCATTTCACCTGCATAAAATAATTAACTAGAACAAGTAATCAAATGCATAAATGCAACTGAAAATTTTAACTGCAAAAGATGCTCTAAAACAAGTCAACTAGACAAGGAGGCAAACAAACCTCGATTGCTGCTAGCATGGATTGTTGAGACTCAAATTTGACAAAGCCAAAGCAAAACTGATCAGGCTGCAACAACATCAAGAAAAAGTGTCAATAAGGAAAGTTTAGAAACTCATCAAACTGTGAGTTCAGCAAGTTTGGTTTATGGATTCTTTTGCACATAATTAGTATAAACATGATGAATGGGGACCAAAAATTCAAAGAATTGCATAATGATTCATCAACCCCTCAAAATCAATCACCCCATAAACCTACAACTTATACTAACCTGACATTTGACCTGTATACCACCAGATTTAATAGCACCAAACTTGCTGAACTCTTGTTCAACCATTTCAAACAGTTGCTTCAAAAGGAAAATTCTTAACAAAAAAATTGAGTACCCCTAGCTCTACAAAACAAGGTGTTACAATTCAGAATAAACCCCATTCTTTTCTTCGACCCATTCAGATATGATCACAAAATAGGTATCCTCCAAAATACGCCTTGTATGCCCCGTACTAAGACTAACTAGTATAAAAAAGGGAGTACCCAGTGCAGAGAGCTCCCGCTCTGTGCGGGGTCTGGGGAAGGGTGTCAGTGGCAAGCCTTACCCTCGCCTGTGCAATACGAGGAGACCGCGACTCAAGTCCGGGACCTTTCGGTCACAGACGGTAAGACTCTACCGCTTGCACCAGGCCCGTAAGACTAACTGGTATGCTAGAAGAAAATCCTAAGTGCAATTTTGACCTACTTACTGACGGCAATGGTCAGCTCATCTCTCTCTTCATGAGGATTCTCAGTGGCTTATTCATGAACTTGCGGGTAATCAATCTCAAGGGCCTCAGGAGGCATGGTAGCAGAGAAAAAGACTCCAACTTGAATCTTGGCTGGGGCAAGCTGAAAGATATCGTATATCTGCATTTCACCAAAGCATAAATCAATCAGACGAAGACACAAACACAAAAACACACAGAGAGAGATATAGGGAAAAAACAACATCAACCCCAAAAACACATGCACCCACACACAGAGACACACTCACACTATCACCAAAGCTAGCAAACACCCACCAACACACGCACACACACAGAAACACACACAGAGACACACACAAACAGAGGGGAAGAAAGAAAGACAGGCACACACACACAGAGACTAAGCAAATATAGAAAAAAGCAACACAATAAGAAAGATACCCGGAATAAAGAAACATGGCAGAATACTCAAAAAAATTCTAACAAATCTCATACAAATAAAAAAAAGACACATTGAGCCAAAAATAACAAGGATGAGCATCCTTAAATCCAGCATTATACATTCCAAAAACAACTACACAAAATTAAATGTCCCTGACCTAAAAAACATCCAAAAACTAAAAAAAATCAAAGCAACAACCGGCAACTACAAATACAATGACAAATATGACAACCTGCAGGCCATCTATTATACCAGCACGTCAACCTAAAGACTACCTGCAGGCCATTCTCAGACACAGATCAAATCCACATGAAAGCAGAGGCATAATCAACTCTAAACATAAAAAAATACACAAAATCCCCAAAATCAAATGAAGAATCTGAACAGCAACTAACATAAAAGAACTTAAACAAATAAACACAATCATTAATTCGTGCACACACACACTCACGCTCTATTTCTAGTAGCAGCAACAAGCGCACACACACACACTCACACTCATAATCACACTCACACACACCCGCACACAAAGACACACCTACACACACCAAAAAAAAGACATCAGCAGCTCCAAAAAACAGAAAAAAAGGCAAACAAAACCCACATCAATACAAACATACAGAGAAAAAGACACACCAAAGCTCTGGAAAAAAAATCAGCTAGCAAACACGGCAAAGCTAACAAAAAACCTTTGAACAAAAAAACTAAAAAAAATTCAACTCAACAAAAAAGTCAAATATAAGAAAAAAAACCCAAAGACCAGCTAAAAATATAAAAGACAACTCAACTAAAATATACTAGACAAAACTCTGAAAATTACAGCTAAAGGCAAAAGAAAAAGAAATCCACAAATCAACAAATCTAAAACTTAACAAATCAACTCTAAGCAACAGTGGAGATCTCCAAAAAAGGAGCAACTGTCAAAAACAATGCACACAAAGAGAAAAACAGAGAGACACAGACACAGAGAGATAGACATAACTCAAAAATATATAGCTTATTGATGAATCTAGAATTATTTCCTCTAAAATTAGAAGTAAAATAGACAAAAGGATGCAGTTCTGATGCAGCTAGGATCAAGAACAGTTAGCTATCTTCAATGATCACAATGATGAAGTTCTGGTGGCAAGGTTCAACTTTTAGGAACTCATATTTATACTGAAGATGCAGTGCATATTATAAAGAAAAATATAGAGTTGCAGTCATGTTCTGAGAATGCATATACAGGTTGAAGGAGATATATCTACTGCCCCCACCAATTGGGTAGATAAAAGCTAAGTATCGATACATCATAATGGCAGATAAGTTAAGTAGCTCCATACAGGTAGATCAAAAAAGAAAACAGGAAGCATAGATAAAAGCTCATGCTATGCAGTTTTCTGAAAAAACGGCAACAGGTAAGAGGAAACAGGCAACAGGCAACCCCGCCCCATCTCCTTCGTCATGCGTACAAAGACATCCCCACATCACCCCTCCTCCACCTCGTCTGACATCATCTCCGTCTGCCGCGGCCGCGAAGAAAGCGATGGCAATCAATGAAAATCCAACACACAAAAAGAAAAAATCTCCGACGAGACGACACCTGTCCAGATGAGGCCAGAGCAAGCCGACTCCATCCTCTATGGACTCAAACCAAAAATACAACAAATCCTAGAACCTATAAAATCTTCACAAATAGGTTCATAGGGTAGATGTGGAGAAGTGATATGCATACAGACTACAGTCACCATTTAGAAATCAAATATGCAGATTAGTTAGCACAGAGATCAACTGAGAGCAGCTTGATACTAATCAAACTTCAGTTACTCAGCATCAACTAAAAGTAAATTAAAAACAACTAAAGGATTACACATACAAACACTGCATCAAAAGTAGGAGAATAGATAGTATGCACAAGGTTTTAAAGACATCAAACTAATCAGATTATTGTAATAGATAACATCGGCTATCTAGAGAATTGGACAGAACTAAAACACTGAACACTATATATTGATCAAACATGACACACATATATGATAGTAAGAAAAGGTCCAGACCTGTAAGGCTGTAACAACTTGCAAGCTTATGCAAATTTTGCTAGTATATGATATCAACGTAAACGAACAAGATAAAATCACTCCGCAATCTCTTTTTTAGGACACAACTAAAACATGCATTTTCTAACAACCACAATTATGATATGACCTATTCATCACCTAGAAGCCTTGCACAAATTGTACAGATCCAATCCTCCACACATCAAATTCAGAGCAGATGCACCAAAAGCAGCCACAACTCCGATCAGGGTACGCTCGCTGCTATAAGCCAGAACATCTACTGAACCAAAATTACCCAAACAACGACCGCACAGAACAAGGTCGGCTTCGATCCCCTCACCCTTTGCCACCTCCCGCCCCCACAACACCCCCCTCACACACACACACCCGACACCCCCTAATCTCCCTTCCCTTCCAGGGCTCGGGACGAAAGGCAGCATGGACAGGCACACAAACGACATATAGCACCTCAAATCAGCGGCAAAAGTACAGAAACAAGGAACTTACGAAGAACAGCGACAGCTCCTTCAATCAGCAACAGCAACAGCAGAAGCGCGTGGCGACGGGTCGCGCCCCAACACACCCCGTCGCGAGGACACGGGAAACGGCGGTGACGGCCGCGGCACAGGGCGAGCAGCGCGAGGGCAACACCCCCACCCCAGCAGCTCCGCCCCAACTCAGCAGAAGGCTCCGGATAGGGAGGAAGGAAGCCGCGCCGGAGTGGAGAGGAAGCCGCGCCGGATGCTGGAGGGCGCGCCGCCCGGGGTGGAGGAGGCCGCACCGCCGTGGATGCTGGAGGGCGCGCCGCCGGGGGTGGTGAAGCGCGTGCTGAGGGACGGCTCTGGGGAGGGCGGAGCGCGGCGCAGGCGAAGCGGCCGCGTGAGGCGCGAAGGGGAAAACGGGTGGGAGATGAAAAGATAAGGGTGGGCGCGGATTTCAACCATAACGGGCTTCGGGTTTCAAATGCTCGACCCGTCAGCGTGGCGGACCCATCAACGAACCACACAGTTGCACGAATCTCCAAACACATCAAACGGCCCAGAATTTGACAGATAAATGACAACAAAATCTGTCAACAGATAAATAGCAAAAATCCTTTTTTAATACTTGTGTGATTCATGGCCTTTATCACTTATATCCTGTAGATCTAGTTTATAGAAGCCAAACAAAATTGGTGTCACCTTTTTTAATACTTGTGTGATTTATTATTATTAGTTTTACAAATTTAAGCTTATTTGATTATTTTCAAAAAACAATAAAAGGCTAATAAAACAATTTTACATTAAAAATCTTAAACTATTTCCAAATCTATTCAGATTCTTCTCTATTTTTTCCTCTTTAGTTATTTATCAACTGGAACCTTATTCTTTCTATTTGTTCTCCGGTTCTCCCCCATCCTTCTCTTTTTTAGCTGGGAGTGCCCGTTCCCCAGGTCCGTTCCGATTTTTTCAGTTTTCCAATTCGAAGTTGTATTCTTTTTTCGTTCAGATATTTTTTTTCTGATTTGTTTTTCTTTTTTCATTCGGACGTGTGTTTAGCGAGGGGCGAAGGGGGTGGGGTGCAGACGATAACGCTTCCTAATTAAGGTCCATTTGGATTCGTTATCTGCTAATAGCTAGCTAGTTAACAGCTCATATCTAATATTAGCTAGCTAGCTATTAGATGAAGAATGCGTAGATGTATAGCTAATAAAAATGCTACTAAGATAACTATTAGGTGCTATTATCTAATTTGGTTTAGCCAGTGAGGTAGTTATTATCTAGAGGTCTATAATTTGATATTTTATTAGCTGCACCTGTTTAGATCTAACATAGCTATAACGAGTAGTAGATAGATCCAAAGGAAGCAGTTAAGGGATAGGCGATGTACCTGCTGATGAACAGTTTAGGAGCGGAGCAGTCCCCATTCCCCAGCGAGGACGCGTGGCCCGGATGCCGTAACAATTAGAGGGTGTAAACGCGTTGAGCCACAGGACATGCGTTCCGTGTTTGCAGATACTGTGCACATCCTGGAGAACTGGGGAGGTTGCTCTGGTTATGATCTTGATACTGCACCCTGCTCCCTGCACTGTAGGGTTTGGAATATGACTGTCATTTTTTATATCACAATGAAAAATCCA